AATATCCTGGAGAGACACGAGACATTGCTGGCTGAAGTACATGGACCTAAGACATGTGGCAAAGGAAACTATCTCGTGAGCACGAGAAAGTTTTCGCGTGCGCACAAGATAGTTTCTCGTGAGCACAAGAATTCTACATTAAAAAAAAAAAATCTGCCAATGTCCCTTTAGGGGCTACGTACAATACTGCAACTTTCAAAAACTGCAAAATCTGGGGAAAACAAAACCAAAGAACTTTTAACAAAAGAGTTCAAATCTGTGAAGAAACATCAAACTAATTTTAAAAATTACATTAAAAACTGTGAAAAAAAAAACCAAATTGTTTTCACAGTGTAGATTGTCCAACAGGACCGGCAACCTGTCCAGGATGTACCCTGCGTTCGCACTGAGTCAGCTCAAACAGACTCCAGCTCCACCCTACAGAGGCTAAAGTGGTGCATAGTAAATGAATGAATGAATGGCTGGATGGATGGATGGATGGATGGATGGATGGATGGATGGATGGATTGTCCAACAAAAGCCAAAGCGTCTTCAAAATACAGTATAACAAAGGTTTCACAAATTTGAAAATGGGTTTTGAACAGCATAAGGTTGGTCAGCCAACAGCTAATGATAGAAGCAAATGTGCACAAACCTTCAGCAAATAAAGCTGCATATGGAACAACTCAATGATTTCAAGAAAGAAAGAAAGTGTCCCTTAATTAACAAAAAGCTTCTACTGGGAAGAACCTGAAGTTTGAATATTTACATTTCTCCCCCACATCTTAATATTGGCTGCCCTAATGAAAAAAATATGTTGAGGTTAGTTGGTGATTCTAAATTGTCCATAGCTGTGAATGTGAGTGTGCTTGGTTGTCTGTCTTGAAGTGTAGCCCTGTGATAGACTGGTGACCCCTGCCTTCACCCTAAGTCAGCTGGGATAGGCGTCAAAAATAAAGATAAAAATCATGTGTAAACAAAACAAAATTTATGAATATACTGAATAAACCTGTGGAAAAACCGAACCTAATGAAATCTACTGAAGACAGAAACCTGTTGGCAGGCCGGGATACAACAGGCCTGATGTGCATGCGCTCTCACACATGTTGCGAGTTCAGACAAGGACACCATGGCCTTGAAATGACCCAGTAAAGATGGTGCCCGGGAAGGCGTAAGAGCCCTATCAAGAGGGGGGGCGCAGGAAACAGCGCAGCTGCAGAGTCTTAAATAACACTGTGCTAAGCAAGAAATAATGCTGACTATGGACCTTCTGATTGGTTTTGAAGAAAATGGGTTTGGTTTTACGTGGGAAAGAGGGGAGTTGGGAAACATATATAAGGTCATGTAGCGCATTGTTAGCTAGCCAAATCTCGAGATTTTGCTCCTGTTTGTTCATGCAGCCTCTGCATCGCATAAACATTATTCACATCAGACTCTGATGACTGAAGATTTTTTCCTTCTTGTAGAACTTTCTTTGAGGACCCGAAATATCCAGTTAAGGACCGTTATTTCGGTTATATGTTTTAACGACGCTGCCTCATCATCGCTGGCCCGTACCATGCAAGCCGAGTCACGACAGATCCTTTCATTCCAATGACATTGTAATGGCAATTTCAGCAAACCCCTTTTTCTTTGCTGCTTGACCACTACTGATGGCTGGGTTGGTTTTAGTCTTGACACATGCAGATGAATGATGATGAGTCGAAGTGGATTCAGTCGGTCCCACTGACCATTTATTGCATTTCTTCTTCGTTGAATTACAAGTCAAAAATAAAATAAAACCGTGATAAATCAAAAGCATTTAAGAAGGCCTGGTTCCTCTGTGCAGCCACCTGGTCAGAAAACTGTTTGCCTTCCTCAGCCACACCTGCTGCTGTGGCAGCTCGTTCTTAAGCCTTCTCCAGTGGGCTCCACCTCCAACTTCCTCAGTCAGGTGGAGTTAGACTCTCCGGCCTCCTCTCGGTGGAGTTAAACACAATCATTACAACTCATTCCCCCACAGGCACACATGCACCTGTACTCTCTCCCTCTCCCACTCACATCCACACCAACAACAAGAAATAACATTTGGCTCAGTTTGGCTCCTACATACCGGCTGCTAATTGTGTTTCTAGAGGCAAAGACAACTACCTAAATAAAATGAAAAAGGAGCCATTTATATTTGCCGTTCATCTTATTTTTAATCCTTAGTGTCTTAAACTTTAAAAAAAAATGTAACTTAGAGTGAATAAGTTCGCTTATCTGGAACTCTTTTAGGCATCCAGGCTTTTTTATCCAACTTCATCAAACTTCATCACCCTCGAGATGCAGACAGACTTTGGACACTGGCCTCTCCAGTACACTCGTCTTTGTTTGTAGTTTCACCACCCGGACATGGCCTTTGGCATCCGGTTTTGCCTCTAAAACTCTTCCAAGGAGCCATGAGCTGCGAGGAGCGGTGTTGTCTGCTATTAGGACACTGTCATTTGGGATGAAGTTTCTTCTGGTTCTTGACCACTTTTGTTTTTCCTGGAGGAGAGGGAGGTATTCCAGTAGCCATCTCTTCCAAAATAGCTCTGCCACATACTGGACCTGTTTCCAGCGTCTTCTACGGTACAGATCAGATTTTGAAGAGACTCAAGGGGGCACAAGTGGTTAGTTTTGAGCAGAAGGATGTGATTAGTTGTAAGGGCCTCTAAATCTTGTGGATCATCAGATACTCTTGTAATAGGCCAGCTATTAAGAATTTCAAATAGGATTCCACGTCGCCCGCTCTGGCCCCAGGTATATATTTAACTATGGTCGCTGGTGTCTCTAGCTTCACGTTTCTGACTATGGAGCTGCCAATGACCAGAGTCGGTTTCTCAGCAGGTGTGTTGCTGAGCGGGGAAAAACGATTAGAAACGTGAACGGGGGGTGGGTGGTGAGCCGTGGACTGAACCTTCGGACTATGCTTCCTTCGGACGGTCACCCAGCCCTGGTTTCCCGGCTGCTCGGGAACTACCGGGGGACGGCTAGCAGAAGCTACGCTAGGTCGCTCCGTACCGGCTACAGGCGACTGGCTAGCTACTCTATCAGACATGGTCCGGAGCTGTGCCTCTAGCTCGGTGAGCCTCGCCTCCAGAGACATATGCTGAAACACAATTATAACACATAATCAAAGAGCTAAAAGAAATCATAATGCATAAGAAAGGTTCATGTGAAATTCTCCAATGTCATTGAAAGACTCATTAAGCAACGGGAAAACAACGTCATAATTCTTCCTGTATGTCTCCTCTCTGCATTCCTGTTTAGTTTGATGCTTCACTTCTGCAGATAAGACTTTATATGGTACAATACAAATGTAAAAACAGTAACAAACAAACAATAAAGCTCCAATTAAACGTGCCACAGTTCAACAACTGTTAATGAACAGTAAAAATATATGACTTCTCCAAAAGTTCCTTGTCTTCCTTCTGGAGTCCTGGTTGATTTTGAGCCAACACACATGAAAGGTGAAGGTGAGGAGAAGAATATTCATAGTTGCAGTTTGTAACTTCACCACTAGAATCCTTCACATTGGTCCTTTAAGGCCTGTTTGAATAATGAAATAAAATCACAAAAGTAACCATACAAGAGAAAATACACTGGAGGGTTCTTACTGTTGTACTGTTTATTGTTATTCACCTTTTATAAACATATATGTCAAACAGTCAGCCACAAAGCAACACAACTCAGAGCTCGGATAAACTCACACCCACCCTAGACCCTAGAGCAGGGGTGGGCAATCCTGGTCCT